CGGGCCGAGACAGCAAACGCTGTCTCGCGGGCCGAGACAGCAAACACTGTCTCGCGAGCCTACTTTCCGCCAACTGTTCATAGAGGCTATAAATACCCCCCGAAGGCCATTTTTCACAGGGGCTGATCAGAGAGCATCCAGAGGCTGATCATTTTGAGCACTGTTGAGCAGAGAGAGCAGAGTTCCTGAGCTTCCGGTCAATCCTTGATATTCAGGCTTTGACTTGATTTCAAGAAGAACGACTATCTTACCTTGATAAGATTTCGTTTCAAGTTCTCACTTCGATAAACGAAGTCAGAATCATAAACCCCTCACGATTCGATCAGAATCTGTGATTTGCTGGTCCACGGGCTAACGCACCCCCGGCACAGGCAAAGATCCCACGCAAGCAGTGATCCAAACAACGATCATGCGTTTGTTTCCCAAGAGTTGTAATTTTCATTTTGTTGTGTAAAAGGAGTCTTATAAAAAGGCTATCTCTTTTTTTGAATTTATTGTAATCGACCGAAGATATAATGAATTCCATGACAAAGTCAACTTTTGACGCAAACACGATACATGGGATCTTGTTGAGCTTCCAAAGGGATAAAAGGAAATTGGTTACAAGTGGGTATACACGAAGAAGGAAGGTATTGAGGATACTCCATTAAGGTTCGAGGCTAGTTTGGTTGTAAAGGGCTATGCACAGGAAGAAGGTATTGATTATAATGAGGTTTTCTCTCCGGTGGTGAAGCATTCTTCGATTCGGATTTTGCTAGCTTTGGTGGTACAGTATAGATTGGAGTTAGATCAGTTGGATGTGAAGACGATATTTCTTCATGGTGATCTTGATGAAGAAATATATATGACTCAGCCATTGGGATTTCGAACTGTAGGGAAGGAAAACCTGGTTTGCAGGTTGAATAAATCGCTATAAGGTTTGAAGCAGTCTCCTCAACAGTGGTATAGACGATTCGATGATTTTATGCTTGGTCATTCGTACACTCGGAGCCAGTTTGATCCTTGCGTGTATTTTCGCAAGTTGAAAGGAGATGCGTACATCTATTTGTTACTCTATGTTGATGACATGTTGGTTGCCTCCATTTCCAGGTCTTATATAAATGAGTTGAAGGCACAGCTTTCAAAAAATTTTGAGATGAAGGATTTAAATGAGGCTAAACATATTTTAGGGATGGAGATCAGCAGAGATAAAGAGAAGGGCAGAATTTATTTGACACTGGTTACTTATTTGAAGAAAGTTTTACAGTGATTTCATGTCAGCATGGATACGAAGCCAGTTAGTGTATCTTTAGGAGCCCATTTGAAGCTTTCAGCTGACCTTTCACTGAAGATAGTTGAAGATCAAGAGTTGATGTCGAAGACTCCAGATGTGAGCGCGGTTAGGAGCTTGATGTACGCGATGGTATGTACGAGACCAGATTTGTCACAGGCGGTGAGCATGGTTTCGAGATACATACACGATCCAGGAGTAGGTCATTGAGACACAGCTTTCAAAAGAGTTTGAGATGAAGGATTTGGGTGAGGCTAAGCGCATTTTAGGGATGGAGATTAGCAGAGACAAAGAGAAGGACAGAATTTGTTTGACATAGGTAGCTTATTTGAAGAAGGTTCTACAACGATTTTATGTCGGCATGGATACGAAGCCAGTTAGTGTACCTTTGGGAGCCCATTTGAAGCTTTCAGCTGACCTTTCACCGAAGACAGTTAAAGATCGAGAGTTGATGTCGAAGACTCGATATGCGAGCACGGTTGGGAGCTTGATGTATGCGATGGTATGTACGAAGTCGGATTTATCACAGGCGATGAGCATGATTTCAAGATACATGCACGATTCAGGAGTGGGTCATTGGGACGTCGTGAGATGAATTTTGAGGTACATTCGAGGTACGTTCAATGTTGATTTAGTTTACGAATGACACTACAGGTGGGCAGTTATGTATTGGTTATGTTGATTCGGATTATGCCGGGGATTTGGATAAGTGCCGATCTACTACGGGGTATGTGTTTAATTTGACCCGTACGCTGGTGTATTGTAGATCCACCTTACAATCTATGGTGGCTTTGTCTATGACAGAGGCAGAGTATATGGCGATTATGGAGGCTGTAAAGGAGGTTATTTGGCTTCGGAGACTTTTGGAGGAACTTGGTATATCACAGAGGTCCGTCACTATTCATTATGATAGCATGAGTGTTATCTATTTGGTGAAGAATCAGGTTTTTCATGCGAGGAAGAAGCACATTGACGTTCGTTATCACTTTGTTCGGGATGTTCTTGAAGATGGCGATGTGGAGATTGTGAAGGTCTACACGAAGGATAATCCGGTGGATATTCTCACTAAGGTAGTTCCGAGCAACAAGTTTGATCATTATCAAAACCTGTTGCACATTTGTGATTGTTGAGGCCATTGATGGCCATTTGGATGAACTACAGACGGCTTGATCCCTTAGGAGAGGGGTACGTGGGCAACCATATTGGTGCAACCGAATTTTTTTGGAGAGACGACACATTAGTGCTCATCGCTTGGTGTCGGCTCGGTTTTGGGAAAACTTCACCGAGGTGGAGAATTGAAGAGAATACAGAAAAATTGACAAAAAACAGCTTTGGACTTCCAGGAGTTGACCGCGAGTGGCGTGACGGTCGACCGCAAACATGCACGCAAACTAGAAAAGTCTCTAGACTTTTCACGGTCTACCGAGAGTGACGCGGCGATCGACCGGCCTAACCCTGTAGTGATATTGTGTTTCTGTCGTTGGATCCGGTCGACCGCACGTGGCTCTGCGGTCGACCGCGAGTCGGGCTGGGCCTGAACTTTGGTTTCCTGTTCGCATTGGGTTTGCGTTTTGGTATATAATCAAGCAAGTTTTTTCTAGGTTTTCAATCAGAGATTTTAGACTGTACTGAGCATATTGAGAGGGAGAACTTGTGAGCAAGTAGAGAGATTTGGTTTAGGGGTTGTGTGAGTGATTTTGTGAGTTTGTAACCCCTTTGTACTCTCCTTAATTTAGTGGAATCTCTCATCCTCTCCCCGTGGACGTAGGTAAATTGCCGAACCACGTATATCTCTGTGTTTGATTTGATTTGTCATATTTGGATTGAATTGTGCTCATCTGTGGTTGGTTCTCTTCTCCCGTGATCACAGATTCGTTCGGTGTGCGAGCACGCTTCCGCATAGACGTGCAACAACTCCCCCAACCAACACCCCCACAACACCCCAAAAAACCCACACGCACCCCCCAAATATCTATATAAAATCATAAAAAAGGGAGGGTTTTCCACCTAAACCATCTCTAACTTATGGTGATAAAAACCACCTTGAATGTTTGATTAAAACAAAAGTCATTTTTAAGGTTAAACTACCAAATTGACATTTAAAAAAGACCCGTTTTATCTTGTTGATATTTAAAATATTTCCGATGATGTTTTGGTATTTAATGGGTTTAAGTTGGCACATGGCTCTAATTTTTTGTTGGCGTTAATTTTTCCAACGGGAAAATTTCTTTGCACCATCTATCGTCTTAAAATCATTGTATTTTATAACATTCTTCTTCTTCTTCTTCTAGAAAATTTTTTCTCACTCCCTCCCTCAAACCCATCCCCTTCCTCTCCCCCCCCCCCTTGGCTCCCACAAACCCCTCTCAATCCCTCAACACTCAAACTCACCCATCAACATCCACTCAAGTGCATCATCATCATGTGAAGCAAAACCCCACTTTAAATACAATTCATTAACGAGAAGTAAGTGTTGGGTTGAGATAATTACAGAAGATGGCATGAAGCTTTGAGACTTGGTGTTGGTTTGGAAAGAGAAACCAGAATAAGCCCTTTGTTCCTCTTTGATGTCTTGATGATAACTTGCTGGATTTTGTTTTGAATTGTAGGATTGTGCAGGGATTGTTCCTATTGCTGGAGATGGCAAGATCTGTTTGAGATAATAGACTGAGTGAGTAAATCTATATAACGAGCAGAGGAATAATTCATAAAATGGAATGATTTTGCATTGAATAACTTGGGAGTTCATTGAATTCATAATTGGATATGCTTGAACTATGCAATTAAGAAAATTTGGTAAATTTCTGTAAAAATCATTAATCAGAAAAAAGGAATTTTCTGGAAGGGGATAGGTTTGGAGGAGCCGAGGGGGGGGGGGGGGAGCGGTGGCTGAGGAAGGGGATGCATTTGAGGGAGGGGAAGAAATTTTCTAGAAGAAGGAGAAGAAGGGTAACAAATACAATAATTTTATGACGTTAGGGGGTGCAAAAAAAATTTCCCACCGGAAAAGTTAACGCTGACGAAAATTTGGACCCAAGTGCCAACTTAAACCCACTTTAAATACCAAAATGTCATCAGAGATATTTTAAATACTAATGTAGTAAATTGGTCTTTTTTAAATGTCAATTTGGTAGTTTAACTCATTTTTTAAAGGATGTCCGATAACAATTAGCCGCTTTGACCTATTTTCTGATGAAATTTCAATTATAATCCCGAAATGTCTTTATAGTGACACATAAGTGAGGAGGCATTGCTTGCTCGATGTGAAATTACCCTAGAGGGGGGTGAATAGAGTATATGCTAATCTAATCCAATTTAATACCAAATTAAAACTTATTAATAATATCCTAGCAATTATGATATACAACAAGATATATGAGCAAGGATATGCAATTACACTAAGGGCATTATAAACATGAGACCTAACAGGATGGCTAAAGATTATGTTAATGCTTGGCATGTGAGCTTTTTAGGGTATATAATCAAAATGCACAAATATATAAATAGTAATTATATCATCAAAATACATAAATTATATTCTTCTCCATAACTACAAATTGTCTCATATCATTTTATCGAAATATCCCTCTTTAAAAAATTATTCGCAATCTTCCCACCCAAATATTTCACTTTCAAAAAAATGTTCCACTTGAACAATTATTCCGCTTCTTGTGGAAGATTGCTCAAAATAACTAACACCCCCCTACAAGACTTCAAAATCATGAACTTTTATAACCGTTTAAAACCCAACCATGAATTTTTCATATAGCGTCTGAAAACTAACACGAATTTTACATTGATATTAATTCACAGATTTTACCATAAAAATAGGCCATGATATTTTTTTAATAAAAATATTTCATGATGATTTTGTAAAACAACCTCTAAGAATTTACATTAATTTAGTGAAATTTACTCAAAAATCAAATAGAAAGAAAAAGAGCTCAACCCTTGCTTCCCCCATCCCCGACCCTCAGCATTAATTATTTTTTCTTCTTCTTTTCCTCTATATTTA